GTGTATTTGAAAATAAATCAGTGGGATAATGTGCAACAACAATTAGTTACCTTGCTCCAATGGATATAGTAATAATATTGTCCAAGTTGAGTCTGCACCACTGTTCAACATCATATGCAAAGGTTGCACTGAACATAGCTCTTCTGACCTTGTGGGATGTGCAGGCCAGGAAAATGAAAGCCAGTTGGTCTCTAAACCCAGTTTTGCCATCTTCAAACAGTTTGTCTGATTCATCTACTACCAGCCACTCAACACTAAGAAATAACAGAACAATTTGTAAACATTAAACTATAAGATCCAAGACACTTCATTAAACTGTGGGGACACATGAGGAAGTCAAACCATGATTCTGCTTTTCAGATCCACTTTATCATATTAAAAAAAGGTATCATACCAGAAAAAGATATATAAGAAAAATAAGCATGAAAAATCAACATTGATTTAACTTAGCAGATAAGCTCCAAAGGGAAGTAATACAAGTAATTTGGAATAAAATATAACCAACTAATGAAAAACATACATGAAGGACATTAAAATATTATCTGTACCTTGTTAGGTCTATTCCTGGTGGATCTTGCTTCAATAAATAGATTAGTCGATTTGGAGTAGTCACAAGAATATCTACAGGAAACAAATGGTAAAAATTGCAAAAAATAAGTCACATCACTTTTGTGTGTGGGGGGGCAGGGGATGGGGTATAGTACTGGGGCCTGAACCCACGGGTGCTTTTCATTTTGAGTCAGGGTCTTGCTAAGTTGTTGAGGCTAGCCTAGGACTCAGGAGCTTCTGACCTTAGCTTCTTGAATCATTGGGATCACAGGCCTGCACCAACACTGGCTAGGTATATCCCTCTTTAAAGAAATGAAGCCTTCTGAATCTCAAGTCAATAATGTTTCATTGGAAGGGGACAGAAAAGCTACTGACATAAAAGTTCTTCCTTATTAGAAAGCCAATAAACATTTTTTTCCATGATAGCATAAACTACTGTATCTTTTTTATTTATTTGGACAGTCTTCTCAACTTCTAAGAGGCAATAATAATATACAATCCAATAATTTGATTTTCAACCCCCTCCCGCCACACAGAAAAATCCTTTTTTTAAAATATTTATTTTTTTAGTTGAAGTTGGACACAATACCTTTATTTTATTCATTTATTTTTATGTGGTGCTGAGGATCGAACCCAGGGTTTCGCACATGCGAGGAGAGCGCTCTACTGCTAAGCCACAACCCCAGCCCTGTAAAATTCTTTCTTTAAATGAAATTTTACTCAGAACTTAAAGATGAAAGACAAAA